AAGTCCCAGGGTTCGTGCGTTCCATTCCTCACCCCATAAACCATATGCCATTGGGGTGCAACATGCTTTCTATAACTCTAATGAGCATGGATGCTCTGGATCATGGTCTTCCATTATATGATCAACACTCTTAGATTTTTCATGAATTCCTAATAAAAATCAGAAAAACTACTTACAAAACATATATTTATGAATTTTGCCTCAGCATAATGTCCTGCTCTATATTTCTACCGTTAACATATCATCATCATTATTATCAAAGCCTTATTTTAACTATATCAGGGAAAATTACAATAAAATTTTACACTAGCTGCCCATCTAACACAACCCTCCTCCTTTACTAGAACTTGGGATGTGTACATACCGGCACGGGGAATATTAGGTTGCAAGGTAATCTTATACTTTCGAGAGATAGATAGAGAGAGTTTTGTTTTTCACCCCTACTTTTCTTTCACTTGGGTTGTAGCCTTCTAGCTTCACACGCATGCAAATGCACGCCAAAGAATCTTCAAAAGCAAAACCCAAGGAAAAATGTGTTTTGTGAATATATTCTCCATGATTTCAACTACTCCCAGCATTGGTCCCACGCGTGTGCCCCATGTGTTAGGAAAAAACGATGAGCATGCGACAACTTTGTCTTCTCTGCCTTATTCATGCGTGTGAAAAACTGTGACACGAATGACATGTAGGCTTAAGTGGTGAGGATGGCGGGGTGCCGTGTCTAAAGTTCCATTCATATCAAAGTCCTAAGCTAACAATTAAACAAACAAAAAAAGAGAAAAAATGAACACTAACAAAACTCAATTAAAGGGTATTACAAGGAAAAATATATAGTACGACAGTTACCTCTAGCTCTCAAATGTGAAAATATGTGATCGAAGTTTTGCTAATGATCAAGCTCAAAATTTAAGAAAAACTTTCCAAGACTCTCACCAAAAAACAAACAAAAAACAAAAACAAAACCTAATACTATATACAATCCCTTTATTTTATTTTATTTCATTATAATGCTTCAAGCTGGATTGGTGGTCCCTAGATCGCTATTGTTGTCCACCTATTTAATACTGGTTCTCTAAGCCAAGAAAATAAGCTTTTGTGCTTCAAATCAATTCAAAGAAGGACAAACCTATATAAAAATATATATATAAAACCTAGACAAAGATGGTATGACAGATAAATTGATAAGCCCAATAAAGATAGTATTTATTTGTCCTCACTATGTTTTTCTTCTTCACCGAAAGTTGTGGTAGCCATACAAGTCAATCAGCAATTTGACTACGTGCCCCCTTTTACCCATAATCTATTTATATTATACTTGCAACAAGTCTAAAAAGCTCTTTTTTTTTTTTTTGGCCTTTATAATTTATATGAATTATGATCCTTCATTATTTAGTTATGGACACGATTTCTATTAGTCCATATAGAAATGAGTCCCCTTTTAAATTTTTTTTTTTGAGATGGATTCTCGGACCATGAAACAATTTTCCTTTTAGTTATAGTTAATATACATTTTCTCTTAAAAGGCAGTGATTAATACATGCATTTAGGTTCCTGACGCAATGTCAGGAGTGCCCAAAAATAGGAATTTTTTAAATTTTTTCCTAAATGTAAAAACAAATGATTGTGCTTAAGAAGATAAGGATTCTTATGGTCTCTATAATGGGTTTTGGCCACCTGCCGAGTGATTCCTGAAAAATGAAACGGCCATTTCCTCAAAATGGTCCTCATACATGGTTGCTTTTATCTTTATAGCGGGAATTTTGGCTCATAAAAATAAATGGTTTATTGTAGATAAGTGTGCATGTGCTAATAGTGATATATAACGCTCCTTTTTGAAAACAAATCCCAATTTCTTTGAGACTTCAAAGAGGGAGAGGAATTAAAGGGGCGTTAGAATACTGGTGAAGAGAAGTCCAAGCTTTCAAACTCCCATAAATTTGAAGTAAGGCAAGGTTTCTCCATTTTGCTTTGTTTTTCCAGTAATGTTCAATTAAAAAAATAGTCGGGTATATCGGCCGATGATAACGGTCCTGACTCGAACTGACAGGATCCGTATTTGGAAGGTGCGTTGGTTGATATGTCCGATATATCGGCGCATGTTTCGGTATCTGATCCCATCTGATTTGGGTTCTTTTTTTGGCTTTTTGAAAAATGACCCTATGAAACCCGGTCATTCCGGCATGCAACATATGAGAACTTGATCTGTACCATTGTCGGCCTACTATAAACAATTAATATGATCCGTAAATCCACCCCATGGCCTATTGCATTTTTGATAGAGTTACATATCATCTCAACCATTTGTTTTGTTTCAGACCAAGAATGGTGCCAATCAAGGTCATATGTTGTATTTAATGTAGGATAGGGTCGCATAGGAATGCTTATCTTTATTTCCTGTTGAATTTATCACGTCAATGTTACTGTTCAAATGCTCTTGTATGTTTTATATTAGGTAAATTATTTTTCCTTCAAAAACATTTCCATGGAAGCACCTAAAAACTGCAAAGTTCTAATATTTTTCATCTGGAAATTGCAAAGCAATGAAGTTGGCATTAATAAACCATTTATTTACCACTAAAATTTTTATGGGTCAGAATTATAAACTTACTTATGGTCTCTATATAGTCTGCCGGACCAAAATTGCCTTTTTTGTCAAATAGTTAGTGGTTTTTTAAGTTGTGGATTGGAAAGCACAACATGCAATTGAGGTATGGGGTGTGCTACTACCACGATCTCAGCCCGTTTCCCGCTATGGGTGTTTTCATGACTTAAAAATTGTCAGACCTTTGTTGATTCACCTTGTGATCAATTTTCATAAGATTTTAAGGGAAAAGTTTTCGAGTTCAAAAATCCGTAGATCTTATCTGTATTAGATTCAAGTGTAGAGTAGATTCCTAAAAACAAGTTTTTCTTCAAAACTACCCTTCAGTGAGATCAATTTGCCAGGTTTTGAGAACCCATATGATCCTCCTAACTGGGTGATTTGGTCGAGGGGCCAAATGTGCAATCCAGTCCCATGGGACCACCAAATCATTTCGTCTTGGTTTATTTTTACTTTTTCAGGATAGTGAAGATAGTTCGGCCTTTCCTGTTTGGTTTCATCCAAATGCAAACGCCACTTTGCAATTTATTAATGTGCATAAGTACATTGCTTTTAATATGGGACAAATTTAATCCCATGTAGAAGCCAACAAAAGTAGTGTGTTTAGGTTCATATATGTGCAATAAAATGCATATCACTAGCAAATTGGTGTAAATTTGGGGAAAGAAAATTTAAAAATTTTGATTTATGAGAAACTCGTAGGGGGTGGCAATGGACCTGGACCCCACCCGGGACTCGAGGGGTAGACCCGATCTGGTTCTGGGTATGGGTCTAAAAATTGGACTCGACACATCGGGTCTTCGTTCAAATCTTGGACCCAAATACTATTCAGGTCCGGGTATGGATCCAGTAGGGTCCGATAATATTTTTCGGGTCCCAATATATGAAGGGTGTGGTTTTTATAGAGCATAGGCTCTAAACAATTAAATTAGAGCCTATCTTCAAATAGTGTCGAGAAATGTGGTTTCAATACTGGAAATCTTTTTGATAGCCTTAAAACATATTTTTCATTTTTAGTTATAAAGTTTAAAGCTTTAAAAATAGGAAATGGGTTGAGGGCATGGTGGTAGCATTCCCACATATGTGGTATCTATTCTTATCGCTGACACCTCCAATTAACACCTTCAAAATATAACTCTCCAATCTATTGAAAAAACAAGCAGGGGCTTGCCTTACCCACTAAATTACCCAAATAATAATAATAATAATAAGCTTAAAAAATAGTGTAGATCTATGAAAACCTGAAAATCTTGAAAATTGACGGTCAAAAAAAGGGTTACAAAATACACTATTTCCAAAACTTGAAATCCATTTTTTTCTCATGTCCATACATCTTGATGTCGAGATGATCAATTTAAAGACATTTAGGCATAAAAATCACCTCTTCTAGTGAAATTTATGTGGTAGGCTCCAATTTCATTGCTTAGAGCCTCCACTCTATATAAACTTTTCCTATATATGATATATAGTTAAATGCATAGATATTTTAATTTTTGGATCGCGTTCGGGTCCCATATCATTTTTTCAAATCCGAGTCCAGCCCGAACCGAACCCGACAAGTTGCCATCATAGATGTGTTACAAAGTTACACTGTATTATTTTATCAACCAATGCACTCGTCATTATTTGTGAGCTTAATTGAAAGACATCAACTTCCAACGGTCCAAATTATCTTGACAAATTAGTCTATTTAATATGAAGCCAAAGAATATTATATACATAATGAACTTTCTAGTGTTTATATGAAGTGATAAATACGATTTGTTTTAAAGGGAAC